CTTTTCATATCTACATCTGAATTAGGCCTGCAATCCGTAATTGTTGTTGTGTTTAATTCATAAGAGGTAACCGGAAGATGGTAACTACCGGGGATAACACGGCCTAATTAAGTGAACGAACGCGGTTGAGTTCACTAATTAGTCTAGCCTATTTTTCTAAATCGTAAAGCGGCTAATTGTATTAAATCTTGAAAACGTTTTTCTGGACTGTACAAAAAGTCAGGTTTAATCGTCGAGCGTCTCGCGGTTAAATTAAAAATAAGGAAAAATTCGGGTAACAGACCGTGTCGTTACCTAGGGCTAGTAATTCCAGGAGATAGCGAAATCTGATACTAAAATTAATTAAACGAGTCAATCGAGGGTGTAGACGGAACCGTGGACTAGATATTTCCCCATTTATTTGATAATCATCTCTGTTTGCTGCATTTGGTTTCATTATATGATTCATATTTTTAGTAGTTAATTAATTCATACCAAAACCCCCCTTTTTATTAGTATTTCCATGATTTCAATTAAAGAGAATAATTACAATTAAATTCCACACTCCCTGTGGGTTCGACCCTTGCTCACTACTACTACTAGTTGGTAGAAGTCGGTTAAGGAAAATAAATATTATATTTTGACCGTGTCGCGACGCGCGGTCAACCATTATAATAAGCCGCTTGTCGCTCCATAAACTCCCTAACTTGAGTGGCATCCAATTTCGTGCTTCCAATAAATATGGACTTCCTGAACTGAAATCCAGGACATTGGCGTGGCTCGACTTCAAAGACGCCACTAGACGAGTAATCGTGAGCTCCAAATGCATACTCTACGCCATGTACTATTATTTCCCCCGAATAAGGTGCAGTTTTGTAAGTTAGAACATAATTTCCAAAGGGAAACTTATGAATTAGAAAGCAAAATTCAAACTTTTTTATTTTATTTTATTTGAAATGCAGTTGTACATACCTTCTACACCGGAGTGAAATATACCTAAGCCAGCCCAATAGAGATAACCATTTATCGGGGTCAAGTCATACACATTGAGGTACACCGGGCTACTTATGGTTACATCATCGTCTGATTTAACTTTCGAGAACAAACAAAAACACCGAGCTGATTTTTCAGTGAAACAAAGAGCTTTTACTGAGTTCCACCGCCTCTTTGGTCGTAATGCCATTCTTTCCTAAAAAGGGAGCTCAATTCAATTACAGCCACAACAAAATCTAGCAAAGACAAGATAGAAGAGTAAGGCTAAGAAGCCATAAAATCACTTTTTCCAGAGAGAGTAACAAGAAAATCAGGGGGAGAAAGGTGTAAGAGAAACAAAATAAAGATCTGCATTTAGAACTAATTAATTGATGAATGGTTTAAATGGTCACATGTTTTCAAGAGCACAATGAGATATGTTTGTCAGTCTACACCATTGAAAAACTTTTAAAACTGACTCCTGCAACATAAGTCATATCTTTCTATTGTAAGTATGTTTTTATCTAATTATCCAACTTATGTTGACTTGCTGCTTAGCTGATGACATCATGTATATGAATAAATGATTTCTTTTCAGCTCTAAAGAATATATATATATATATATCCTACTTCCACTTACTCCCAGGAATTTTTTTTTTTTCTTTTAAAAATCTTATAAATATGACAAAGAACGAGTAATGGAATGAGTTAGACCAAGACAAGGGTTGGTTTCAATGAATCTCCATAAGAAATAATTTGAACATTGCAACGATCTGTTTTCAGAAGAAACCAAAGAAAATCTTCAAACAGTTCCAAATGTTGAAAAGTAAAAAAGATGAGGAGTGGGAGGCCACTAATCATTTGGTTGTTGATTATACAAATATTTCTTGCAGATTTAGAGCTTCTTGATCTCTTTCTCCTCTTGACTTTTAGGCTTTAATTAATATTATCGAGTAAGCTTTCATTTTGAGCTGTACATTAATTAATACTCAGGTTGCTTATAATTATCTTAAGAGCAAAACTAATTTGATCATTTCATCTCATTCATAAGTTCATACTTTCTAGTGAGAAAAATGGAAAAGGGAGAAAAAGGAAAGAACCCCTTCAACTCACAAATACATTCTTGATATGTTATAACTTATAACCCTCTTGGCTTCTCCACACATTAGTACCACAAATCAACAAAACTATTGACTATAAGTCCAGATAACACATAAACTAAAAGAGACTAGTAAGTGATGACAAGCATAAATGTAGACACAAAAGAAAATGACAAAAAAATAAAAACAAAAAGAAAGCTTCAAGTGTACAGAGGCCATACTTAGACCAGATCTTGTTTTCAGAGTTCCAACTCATAACAACAAATACACACCAAACTAAGAAATAAAACATTCAACATGAAAATAAAAATATTAATAACAAAAAAATATTCAACGCCGAACAAATTCCATCAAATCCCACCTAATTAAACAACCCACAAAGATAGATGCAACAAAAAATACTACTGACATTATAAAAAATAAGGTAGGAAAAACAACTAATAAGTAATATCATACCAGCAAACAAAGTTTTCGAGAACTTAAAAAACAAAAAGAAAAAAAATAATTAAGAAACAAACTCACAAGTTTGATCACAGAGCCATTTGCAGAGGCTAATTTTTCTTTTTCCAGCTTCTTCAGAGAATCGCAGTGATTATGAGAGAGCAAGCACCTGGAAAAGGGCTAGTACTGCAGGCCTATTTGTCTCACAATTTTTTTTTTTAGCCTGAAGGCTCGAACTCCGTGGCCACTATAAGGCGCCACGCCTTTGCCTCAATCTCCTTCCCTCCGCCGGTTTCTTCGATTGCAAAGAATTTGTGCCAGAGGCCATCGAAACAGCTCCAATCACCTTCTGTCAGATTACAATTGAAAGGAAAAACAAGCAATTGAAAGAAAAAAAAAAGTTGAGTTGGGATCAGATTTTTCGAGGATTTGGGGATTTAAAGAAAAAAAACAAGTTTGAGTTGGTATAAGATTTTTCGAGGATTTGGGGATTTGAGGATTTTGAAGAGTCTGTTGCGTTTTTTTTTTTCTTTTGTTCTGCAATTTTTCGTGGATTTTTGGTCGGAGACGGAGGGCTTCCCGGATGGATGGGAGGGGGATCGTGTTCAGCGATGGAGATGGAATTTTCAGAGGGAGACGAAGGTCCTACGGAAATAAGGAGAGAAAGAAAGGCGACGACAATTGGAATTTTCAGAGAGAGAGACGGGAATTGAGAGACCGGCGAGAGAGAGAGAGAGAGACGGGAATAGAGAGAGAGAAAGAAGGGCGAGGAAGATGTGTCACAGAGAGAGACGATAACTTTTTATGATTTTAGAGAAAAATAAATGAATAATAATAAGAGTTGTATATATATGGAGAGTGAAATGGAAAGAGAAAATTAAGGAAAGGGAGTGCAGAGGAAATATATTAGGGAGGGGACTGAACTGGAAGTTGAAAGTAGTATTAGGGATTTAAGTTGAATTTTCCGTAGATTAATAGAAGATTCAATATAGTTGTTGAACACAGTTGATAAAGTGGACCATTTCCAATTATTAAAGTGGCAGCCTAGGCCCAAACTTGGCCCAACAAGGAGCCGCCCCCAACTAAAAAAAAATATTTTTTGTAATTGTACTATTTGTTCGTGTGTCATCTTAATTTAATTTATTTTGGACTTGTAGTGCTCTTTCATTTTCATGCATTTAAAATTTATTATTATTAAAATATTGAAATATATTTTTACTGTGAATAGAATATAAAAAATTTATATTGAATGAGTGGATAATGGGTCCCACATATGTATTTAAATGAATGTGTAGGAATGTGGGGGTGTGTTTAAATGGAGAGAGATTTAGTGGAAAGATGATATGGAGATGATGTGGATGAGAGAGAGTGTTACTTTTTTATTGAATGAATGAATTTTGTGTTAAGGGTTGTGGATGCCCTTATAGCAACTTTGATAAAAGCTTTTGAAGAGGTATAAAAATGTAACTTGTCTGATTTGTCATTATATTGGACAGCTTTAAAGTTTCCAAAAATAAATAGAATAGACTAGATTGAGAAACGTGAATTACAAATCCTAAATTTCAATGAATAAAACAATGGCGTGAAGTACACTCACCACAAGGCACGTATTGATACACCTAACATGCATTTGTCCACACATAATCCAACAAACAGATTTGCTATGAAGCCAACGGTTGGCTCCATAATGGAGTCAACCTTCTATATACAATAAGTAAATCATACCATATTCTCTGATTACTTAAATAATATTAATAATTTTATTAATATAATATGATTTACTTGTTGTATATAGAAAGTTGACTCCACTATAAAACCAACTGTTGACTTTTCATAGCAAAACTGATCCAACAAAACACTATAATACAACACATACGTACAATAGAAATACAATAAAACCTCAACTGTTTCTCGTGAGACCACACACTGCTACCGCCACACTACCCAACACAAGTGCCAATCCCACACCAAAAACTACAAGAAAATTGCAAATATTAGACCTAGATCAAAAAATTTCGATGAATGGCTAGTTAGATTTGGCGAGGAATCGAGACACGTCCAAATCTAAGATCCCAAAAACTTCAAGTCGGGAGAGAGAGCGGACGCCAGGGGAGCCAATCCGACTAGCCTCGCCGAAGGGGCATGGACTCCGACCCCAACCCCAGGCCCGAAAAAGAGGAGGGTAGCGCGGGGGAACCCGCTGTCGACAGTCTCCATTAGCAACCAACGACAAGGCAGCCGTCGTCAAGCACATCCCATGGTCGGAGGAGCGAGCAAGCCGCAAGTGGCGGCATAGATGAGAAGGGGGGCATGTGAAGAGCCTTTTTTCTTCTTATGGAAAACCTTAATGAGATTACCCTACGCGTCCAACATGCCGTCAATTCTAAGTCAGCTAACCCTATCTCTCCTCACAAAAACCTTTCTCAAAAGGGTCCCAAGTCACATGGTATTTCCCCTAAACTTAGTATCTTATCATGACATGTTTGAGAACCATTGTAAAGCTAGATTATAGACTCAACAAAATACTAGATTTATTTGTCTACGAACATCTTACCTACTTATGTAGAACAATAATTCATCTAATCAGCTAAGGCAAGATATCATATGAATTACGTGGCAAGTTCGACCCTATCTTGTGAGTAGTGCCCCATAAGAGTTTTATCCGTCATATTGCATATAATCACACACTCATCCGTGCAGGTATGAGTTGAATCGACAAAAAGACAAAAAGAAAACCCCGTGAGGCACTGTCCACGAGGTAGGTACGAATTTTCCGAATTATGTCTCGTTTGTGTGTTATTGGACCTGTGTTATCTTAGTATACATGTCTTTCAAAAAAAAAAAAATTATTATTGCGTTACATAATTATAAAAAAAATATTATAAAAATAAACTAGAGAACTTTCATATTATAAAAAAATTAAGTTTCACCTCCAACCATTCACGTTACACTTAACGCGACACATAATATTATATTTTTATTCTTATATTTCGGATTATTTTTATTGCCAAAACATAATTTACTTAGACATATCATTTTACACAACAAATATTTTTATTTTTATGTAACCTTTTAATCTATTTTTATAGTTATTTAATATAAATATAATTCTGCAAAATAATATTTTGGTAAAACTCAAAATCAAGTTATCTATTTATTGGCATTTATTAACACATCCCTTGTAAAAAAAAAAAATAGATCTCAAATATATCAAATACCAACAACAGAAAAATTGTAGTCGTGGATGAATAATACGAGTACACACTACCTGTAGTGCTATATGTAGCGCAACACTGTTTATATTCGGCACGTGTATAAAGACCAGTTGTGTTAAAAAAACTCAAATTTCTATAAAACGGGAATTCCAAAAATGTCTCAATATCCTGAGTTAATGAGAATAATAGTATATTGGTGTGGATTAAATGTAGCTAGTAAAAGAGACCCTCTGTTTTCTTTAGTCAGTCTATACACTATGCCCGTTTGAGCCGAGCAATCTATCATCCTCTTTAGACAAGTCCATCATGTTAATCTGGACATTCGATTTCGAGTTGGTTTTATTCCACTCATTCTCGACTCGGAAAAAAACCCACTGGAATCGACGAAGCATTTCAAGAAGAGTTATTGTGAACACCGTAATATAGTTATGGCGGAGATGAGCCGACAGCTTGTAAGTCCAAGTGCACCTCAGGATAAGGTTGCTCCCGATCACCCAAAAATACACCTGAAAATGTTTCGATTGCAAATTTTTGAGTCAAATGAGAAAAGGAAATGAAAAATAATGATAATAATTGCAAAATATGTTTAACGATGCTTTAGAATCATGAACGACACCTCGATGCATGTTTATTGCACAAATTTGCCCCAAGTAAAATGATTTTTCATTTAAAAATGCAGCAACACTTGTGAATGTAGTGTTTAAATGGTAAAAGAAGTTTGTACTTGCAACAAACCTCAACTTGGTTGTGTAATTTATCCTATCATGTTGGAAAAAACAAGTCATAAGAAAAGTGTTCGCCGTCTCAGATTGATGTGATTCCATTGATAAGTCAATTTTGTTTTAAAGAAGCTCAGATATTAAACTTAAGAACGCGACGTAGAGTTTATAACCTAATCCAGTTTAATCCAGATTCCAGAAGAATATTACTCGAAGGGTGATTAGTGACAGTGCTAAGGATTTTTATGCTTTGCGATAGTCAATGATACAAGATATTGAGAGATTTTTTTTTTTTTTTAAGAAAGACTAATAACAAGGTTAGACGAATTGTATTACCCATTTCCTTCCATATAACAAGTAGGATAAGATGTGCGGCTTGCTGAACTTGAAAATTCGAGTAAAGCAACTGCAAATGACAGAACAAGCGTATCAAGTTTCAGTTTGAGTTGACACAAATTATAAAACTATTTTACACAATTTCCTGAGATTGTGATCTCAGTAGCTTTGGGTATAAAAATCTATTTCACATGCAAATGAAAAGAAATAAAATATATTAAACTAATTTCTCGGTATACTGTACCTCAAGTCCCAGTCCCGTGTGATATCCCAGTAGAATGAGTACAAAGAGTTCAACACACTTGACAATAGCCATAGAGGCCGATATATATTCGTCCATTTCTCAGGGAAAACATGATACTTGAGTGCCGACAGGAAAATAACTGGTACTGCCGTTGAATACTTTAAGGCTGAAATAATACAAAGATCAAGTTATTGCATGATGTAAGAAAATTTTAATGAAATCGTGAGTTCACATCCAAAGCCAACCTAGTGCTGGAAAAAAAGTATCTATGGTGTTTATAAAAGTGGAACATGAATGATTACATGATTGACCCAAAAACTAATTGCATGCTAGTAATTCTCTTAGATGTTCATCCACACAATGATTTCATGATTAACCAGAATTTAGGATGGGATTGCCCCTTCAAAATTGCTTCAGTTGAAGCTGATATGCTTATGAAATTTGTCAACGTTCAAAAGGCTGACTGATTGAATAATATCCGGCTATCAATGACAACCAAATGGAAGTAGTGCCAATTTTGCATGCATCAAGAGGCAGGTAAGTTCGATAGTTCCACTTTACTCAGTTTCAAGTAACTCCAAATGTAGATTTCACCTTACAGAATAAACACATGCAGGCACACAAAACAAAGGCATGTCTATAGACAAACTCGAATTACCTCACAAACGAGATGCCGGTTAAACAACTTACCATTAAAAAGAGCCGTCTTTTCTCTTGTATCCTTGTATTGCCGAAGACATTGAAAGAGCCGAAAAATGTAAGGCAAAACGAGAACAATAGGTATTGCAACTGCATGACTCCCACATACAGAATCTGCTTCAAACCATGCAATGGTAGCAACCTGAATATGAAGGGTATCACAGTAAAAAAAAAAAAGCAAACGTCAATGGGAAATCAATGCATCACCATTAAAATTCATGCAAATAATGCAACTGGAAATTGATAAACCTTCATAGAAGGTCCAACTAAAATAGAGTTTCAATAATGAAATTCTAAAACCCAATGCCAAACATTGTTTGAGACATATGAACCATAACATTTTTCTATTAACAAAAATAGAGATTCAATAATGAAAAATCTTGACTGTCGCCATTCAGTTCTGACTTCGTTACTGCAGCCAAGTAGAGTAAAAATAGGAAAAAAAAATTGGATAATTATAGTGATGCTAACCTGGCGATGAGCCATCCGACAAACTGAACGCTCCAAATCAGAGAAAACCTGCATAAAAAGAGAAAAATCAGAAAACAGAAAAGTTCAGCATGCAGTAATGTCAGCAAAGATGGGAAAACAAGCTCAAACTGAAATCATTTCTTTCAAAGTTAAATTATACGTCCATCTGGCTGTTATACAAGAATTTTCCTACTGAAACAGTGAAGAATTTTTAAAAGAAGGTTGGAGCTCAACTAAAACAATTAGCATATCAATGTCTTTTCTTAATTTTGATTTCCATAATTCCCTAGCTTTTCATGAAATGAGAAGCACGCAACATGAAAATTGATGAACACACAATAATCATAATGGTGTTTCTCGTGTATTTTCCCAGTTGATAGAAACAGTAAAACCAAGTCGCAGTAGCTCATTGAGTAATTCAACCTACCGTCATTGTGTAGATCTCATTCAAGAATCACTTTCGTAGCAATGTTCATATTTAAAAGAGTGTGTTAATTACTTCACTAAAGTTATATTTGTGCTTCTTCCAGCAAGGCCCTTCTCTCCCCAGGTTCTCAATGCTTGGTTATTTTTTTACGAGTTTTCTTAATTGATATTTAGAACTCCAAGTAAAACATATAAATAAAGTAGTCACTTAAAACAAGTATAAAAATAGTTCTGGGAAGAGAGGAAGAAATAAATTACACCCATAAACAAATAAATGAATAATCTCGGCAGGATTTACAAATACAACAGGATGCATACCTTTGACATAGAGGTAAATATATCAGCCAAAAAGAAGTCAGGAAATGATATTGCCTGTAGTCACAAGGTACAATTTATGAGGAAAAAAATAATAATAGTTCAGAGTTCAGAAGTCAGAACAACCGTTCGAAGATTTTGTTGTTAGATCAAGGCATACACAAATTGGGAGCAGATAACTTTTTTATCAATATCAGACTACATATTTGTAAAATATGAAATATTGACAGTGGACGGCATAGATTTAACTAGGAGACTCAAGGTTGGCTGTATGGTAATACATACGAAGAAGATGTAATAAAAAAGGTATCAATTACAGATGACAGGAAGTGAAGTCGTCAAATCTAAAAGCAAGACTTGTGGAGAGAACACAACCGTGGAAGATAAGATGGACATAGGGTTTAGTATGACTCATGATTACATATGCTTTCAAGTCCATAAACCAAAGGAAGAGGTAGCTAAGATTTTTTGGTTCTCCACTAAATAACAGGTGGATATATCAGGGCTTACAGAAGAAAAATATTCATGCCTTCAATTTATTGAAAAACTAAAACTTGCCTGTAATGGGAACACGATTCGCCATATAGTCCTCAGTAAAAAGTAACGAGATGACAGAAAGAAGATATCAAATGGAAAAATTAGGGTCATTGCAACAGCCGCATATAAGAGGACCTGCAGGTGCCAAACAATATGTTACCACAGGCTACAGGCACACCAGTATACATAGAAAAATATGAAGGCTAAAAGAAAATATGTCTGCCTTTGGCAGATCAGCTTCCATAATTACGAATATTATTAGTGCAGAAAGATGTAAAGAGGCACGCAAGAGGCATATAAGATGATTTCAAAGTATTTTATTAGACATCACATATATAAAGAATAACAATATTTTTACTCATGCATTTATCTTATCAATTGCATAATCTAGACAACGACACATACACTCAGATGGCCAGGCCGAATAGATCTAGAGGCTTAGATCTATTGGTAATTATATTGTTTAACCAGGTACGGATCACCATGATATTACATTTACTAAATACTAAGCTAAAAAGGGCGCATGTGGAATTCATCATGTACCATGAACAATCATCAGTCAGGAATGCTCAAAATAATTCGATAAAGAAGCATCTATTACACTGGTTGAGATGCAGCCAAGGAAACTTCTCCATGAGAATAAAGATAAAGATACGCCGTCATGCTAGTCGGGACAATGATCGTCATCCACATAGCGCACTGAGACATTCAAAGAGTTGTAAGTAAACTATGATCAAGAATTAGGACACGGGGAAAAAAGACGTGAATGGCCAGACTTGCTTTTAAACAAATAATTGAATTTTTCAGATGAAAACTGACAAAAAAATTATACAAATTAGAAAATTAAAGGAAAACCACTAGAACTAGTAATGCAAAGCGTATTTCTTTGGATGGCCAAACAGACTAGACGCCGTAGATCAAACAACATAAGGAATTTGAGGAAAGGTAACGTCCAACATATAAACTTCAAAATAATGCCATGACAAGAATCCAAAAAAGTTCACAAGACTATTACTAAGAACTCACATCACTATTCTTTACACTAATTTAGCAGGCCGAATGAAAAAGTTCACACAGTAAGCAAGCATATAGCAGGGAAACAAACATATATAATGGCAACAAACTCGAGATTAATAACTAGCTAGAATAAGGATTGTTCAAACTTATGCCTACCTTCCATATCTCTCTATGACTGAGATGATTTTGATCTAGGTCAAAAATTTTAGCATAACCAACATTAGCCTGGGCAAAAACCCATAAATTTATCCCCCAGAGCCAAACCATCATAGTCTGCATATTTCACCAGAGAAATGGTAAGAAAAAGACTTTATACATCGTACTTTTAAGCTTCCACACTTATACTCCACAAAATAAACTAAAATCTCAGTGATGAAGTTTACTGACCACAAGGAGGAGTGGATTGTAATACAAGAAAGCCTCATATAAAAATAAATCCCGCAGATCTGCACTCATTCTCATAACTGAATCCCATCCAATCTGCAAATAGCAGAGTACACAATGATCATATGTCAGCCGGTAACCGGTGTTAAACAAAAGGTTGCAAGCATGAATCATATATTCATATTGGAAGGATATTTATACATGTACATATGTACCAGGAAACTGACCTTGCAACAACTGAAACCCCATATGAAAAACAATAGTACCTGGACATTAAATTGGATTAAAAATGAGAAGCTGGCTAAAATATAAAAATTTAGACAATAATTCCCATAACAATAGTACCTGCATATTAAGTTATATTAAAAAAGAGAAGATGGCTAAAAGGTAAAAGTATAAAATTTAGACAACGGAGAACCCATATAAACAAAATTAGTACTTTTACATTAAGTTATATTAAAATTAAAAAGAAAATGAAAAAGAAAAAACAAAGAGAAGTTGGCTAAAAATATAGACACAGACATCGCAACTCAACATCAGAGTACTCTGGAGCTCAGAAGATCTATCAATAAAGCATATTTCAGAACCATAAAAAATCACAGTTTAATGGCGAGCAAAACTCCTAGCCTCAGTAGGAAATATTGGAGTGGTACTGTTGTAATGCCATCGAGTAAGCCCTATAAAAAACTACCAACACATGCTTATATCTGAAACAAATATCGAATCTACAAGGCTAAAACTATGAGGAGTGGCAGCAGAAGGATCCCATGTGGGTACTTATTGAAAGCTGGAAGACAGAAAGAACAAAATTCACAATAGAACTTAAATATAAATTTTCAGAGCTCAAAAAGTGAGTATAGCCTAAATTATTTTGAGATTAGAAAAGACTGGTCAGTAAAATGACATATGCATTCACTCCATCTATTAGAAATCAACTCACAGTAATACCTTGAATCTCCACAACAGAAGTGGAGAAGGCATAATTGCAGCACTGCTCAATGGTGTAACCCCACCCTTCATTTCATTCAACTTTTTAGGAAGCAGAAAATCTTCTTCAGAACTGTTTCCCGGCTTACCTGTGACAAACAAATTATAGTTCTAATAATAGAAAATGCTGCCGCATCCATTTCACAAGCACAACCAGCAATATCGCATCTATGGCTTATGCCGTGCAAATAGTAAAAGGTACTTGTGACAAATATTTTCTTACCGATATCAAACACAACGGGTCGGCTTCCTGACCTACGTAGATGAGGACTATTGTCGGGGATAGGCTCAAGACCTCCAAACATAGATGGAGGCGATAAAGACACAGGGTTTTACACGGTCAAAAGTGTGCTCAAAAACCACTACTGCAGGACAATATAAACAAACTTCATGAAATCTACGCATTGCGCAAAAACATATGGTACTTGCTCAAAGAAACAAGAGAAGTCGTAAGTTAAATTTTCTGCATAGCATTTTCTCTTTTGACTAAATAGGAACCGTGTGAGTGAATTCCATGAAATAACAATATTGTATTTGTAGGAATCAATAAATTGACTCTAAATGCAAGCCCAAAAGCAAAAGGTGTCACCAACAAACATCTGAAGATCTAGAAGCTTGTATATATTTAATACACTAAATAAATAAGGGCTTGTTTTAACAAAGTTAAAAGTGCAGTGGGAGCATATACACACTGCGATCATAAATCTAAACCTCTCTTTGGCTACTTAATTTTATTTTCCCCCATTTTTCATCTTGTTTGTGAGCATTTGTGGTTTGCTTGCCTTTTCGTTTTTTTTTTCTTGAAGTTTTTTCTAGAGTCTACTGGAAATATTTTTCAACAAAATTAGCAATAAAAGGTTGCCGCAATAACATCCTTCATTTTCTAGAAAATCAGACTGCAAATGGCTCATTTTCTAAATTCTCTGTTCCTTTCTTTGTCCTTGGCAACAAGCAGCGGTCAACACTTAGAGACAGATCAATAGCAATTGGCATTAATATGACATTTGCCTAGTTTCTACGACACCGTGTAGCCATTTGCATATAATAGAACAGCAATTAACATCAAGTGACATTTGCGTAGTTTGACAACAAATGTAGCCATCTGCAAATCTGATTTCCACACTGAATACTATCCAGTTTTCACTTTCAATCACCAACACAGCACACACACACACACACACATATCCACACACTCCAGATTAAATAAACAACCCAAAAATATCTAAAATAGGATTGATCCCTAGCTTTCACAACATCTGCAAATTCTCGATAAACGAAGAACCCAGAACGTAATCCACAATGTACTTCAGGTAAGAACCGAAATCAGATAAACATTCAAGCCCNATTTATTAAAAAAAAAAAAGAAGAAAAAAAAAAGAAATAAAGAAAAACAGAAGGAAATAAATAACTAAAGAAAAACTTCTAACCTGACCCATCCAATCGTACTTCCGCACGTCAATGGAGCTCCTTCAGATTACTCCGGCGATATTTATGTCAGTCGCAAAATTCGATCCGAGCTTCTCACACACCGAATTTGAGCGGGGTTTTTCCCCTAAACGTGGTATGATTGGCGGAAAGTGAGTTTTATGCGTGGCTGCAGAGGAAATCCCGGCGGATCAAATTCCCGGCGGTGGCCAGCGCAGTGATGTTAAAGAATGCGTCTCGGCATTGGAATTGGAAATTATGCTAACTCGGAAAATTTATTATTGGGTACACGAGGTTTTAAAAATTTCGAAATGAGCCCCTAAGGGGAAGGTGCTGTAAATTGTAGTCAAAACCGAATCTAAATTTGTTTGAACTCTGTATTCAAATTGTTTGTGTTTGTTCGTTTATTATTTAAGCAAAAATTTGTATTTGAATTTGTTCGTTTAATAGTTTGTTATAATTTGAGTTTGTTCGTATTCAAATAGTTTAGCAAACGAAATTTTTAAATTTGTTTAATTAACTTCGTTCCAACTCAAAAATTAACAAAAATCAATAAATTAACAAATTAATCTTTTTCAACGATTTTTCATTTAACGGCGATGCATAAGGTTATCTTTTCCCAAATATAGAATAAATTAGTATTTATTTATCAACATCAACTTAAAAATAATAAGGATACATTGGAGGTTTCTTGTAAGATAAGTTATTTATATTAAATAGAATTATTAACATAAAATAAGTAATATAATGTTTTTATATAGGTTTGAATAATTTCTTTAACAATAAAAAAGTGATTTTCTATAGCAGTTTAAAGAAATAACTATATAATCCAAGGATAAACTAGATGGTTGACTGGTTGTCCGTGGAATCACTTGTATAGCAGGTAAAAGTCATAGTTTTCATCATAGTTTTTAAACCCGGCCCGGTGATCGACCCGGGCAGGTCCTCGGGTCACTAGGTCACCGGTTCAACCGTCGGGTTCGGGTCAATTATTGAACCGGATAATTAATTTTAAAATTTTTAAAATTATATATATAGTATTTTTGTTATATAAATATACATAAAAGTAACAAAATTAAATGTTTTGTGTATAAAATTGTATATCAAAGTGTTAATAATATGTATCTCATGATAAATATTTACCATAAAAACATATATACTTAGTTTTATTTTTAAAAAATAAAAAAAAATATAAAAAAATATAAAAAATATATATGGACCGGGTCAATGCCCCGGGTCTCGGCTGGGTCGGCCGGGTTTTGACCGGGTCCTTGGTTGCCCGGTCCAAATACTCCACCCGGACCGGTTCCAGCTCCGGGTCGACCGGGTCCCGGGTCGACCCGCCGGGCCGGTCCGGGTCATAAAACAGTGGTTTTCATAACATGAACTTTTCAAATACGAAAATATGAATATATATATATATAGAGGAAATTGCAAATTTGGTCCCGTTAGATTGGGACGGTCGCAATTTTAGTCCCAAGAGGCACAATTTCAGTCCTTAACTAATTCTTGTTACGTAATTGGTCTCAAATCTAACTGACCGTTAAGTCATCGTTAATTTTAAGGACTAAATTTGCAACTGTGGGACTAAATTTGCAATTTTCTCATATTTGATATATATAAAATAACTTTTCATTTTTATTTTTATTTTTTATAATTTTATTCACCTCTAGAGTTATATTTTTATTTTTTATCAACCACTATAATCATAATAAAATTAAATGATGATTTTCTAAATATATTTATTATTTAAATAAAAATATTTGAAATATAGAAAACATTGTATTGCAATTAAAATTTTTAATATATTAATAATAATAATATAAATTTAAATTTATTTGTATTAATATATATCAAATATATTTAAGTTTATATTTTTTTATATTAAAAAATATATAAATATTTTTGTTATATATCAAATATGTTAATAAAAAATATATTTGTTATATATCAAATATGAATTTAAGTTTATATTTGTGTTATATTAAAAAAATATATAAATATGAATTTAAAAAATTATTCAAATAATATTTTTGTTATATATCAAATATGAATTTAAGAAAATATATATATATATATATATACAATTGACCAGTCCGATCAACCAATTCTAACTGGTTCATTGGAAACCAGTTCGTTCAAATGAATCCAACCATTTGACCGATTCTAAAAATTAAAAATAATAGTAGTTGATATTATTTTAAAAATAATAGTAGTTGATTTTATTTTTATTTTATTTTTATTTTTATTTTATGTTTTAAATTTTTATTAACCTCTAAAATTATATTTTTATTTTTTTATCAACCAATATAATTATAATAATATTAAATAATTATTTTGTAAATATATTTATTATTTAATTAAAATATTTTAAATACAGAAAACATAATAATATAAATTCAAATATATTTGAATTTATATATATCAAATATATTTAAACTTATATTTTTGTTATATAAAAAATTATAAATATTTATTAACTTATTTAAAAAATATATATTATTGACCAGTCCATTCAACTAATTCTAATCGGTTCATTGGAAACCAATCCATTTAAAGGAATCAAACCGATCGATTCTCGATTCAACAACAAGTTTGGCCGAGCTTTCAAACCAATAGTAGTTGGTATTACTTTTATTTTATTTTTATTTATAAATTTGATTAACCTCTAGAATT